CAATTGCAGTAGCTAAAGGTATTTCAAGATATGAAAATTTGAGTTATTACTTACTATCTACAAAATTTTATGTGTTATTATTATTTTATAGAATTTCTAGAAAATGGAATAGGACCTAATCCAACTTCAATTAATTCACGAGCTAAAGATCTTTTGAAATCAAAAAAAGATATGAAGTATTATTATAATATTACATTTATCTTTTTTTTTATCAAGTTTTATATAATAATTTATTTAAAATCTTCTTAATTAATAGTGATCTTGAAATTTTAAATAATTGGACAAAATATCATTGTAATATTTGTACAATATTTAATGATAATATACCAGTAATTATAAATGGTAATTATGAATGGAACCAACATTTAAAAAGTAGAAAACATAAATCTAAATTAAAATTAAAAAAACAATTTGATGAAAATTATAATGGTCAATTTCCACCTTGGTTTAATAAAAAAAAAATAATATAAATACAAATTTTTAATTAAAAATATTAAATAAATGATTATTAGAGTCCTGTGTTTGAAATTCAAAATTTTAAATCAATATCAATGTTATAATATCTTGATAATTAATCCTTTTTATTATACTTGTATAGGACTTTAGATATATATGAAACAATTTATAATTTGGCTTCACTAATAGAGAAAGAGCAAATTCAGCCAAATTTGAAGTTTAAAAATTGGTTTTTTTGCAATTATGTCGAAATCTAATAGTCCAATTTAGCTAGTCTTTTTTTTTAAAATGTAGTTTTCATTCTTTATCAAACAAAAAAACTTCATTTAAATCGATTATTAGATGCTGAGAAAATTGCAAAATACTAAAAGAGCAATAAGTGCCGGTTGTTTTAGAGATTTCAGGGTCCTATTTGTATTCTAAACTTAACAACAATTCTTATTTTTTTATTATGTATTTAGGTAAATTATTTATTTATTTTATAATATTATGTATCAAACTTAATCTGATAATTTCCATTTTTCATTTTTAATTAAGAATAAATTTAATGAATGTTGTTATGTAATAAAGTCTCATTTTAAATTTTTACATATCACTGGCTAGTGTCACATGATTTTGCATTTAATCGTGATATCGGTGATGATCACCGGTGATAAATAGCATAATTTTTAAAAAATCAAAAAAAAATACCTTATACTTTTTTGAATCAAAAATAAAAAGTAATAGATTTATTCAAAATTTCACTTTAATAAATACTTACACAATTATTTATAAGCTATAATGAAGCATCAAGGATTATAATTGAATATATTATTAATACTGATTATTAAAAATTATATATTTTTGGATTAATAAAGTTATAAATTAAACTATCGAATATGTTATCTAATTATGAAAAATGGCAGAATAGTTGGGATAGCTTATTTTGTATACGATTGGCCTTTAGGCAAATCATTTACCAAAATTTCGCTTATCCGCCACTTATTTATTACTTTTCTTTAACCAAAATTTTTCTGATGATTTCTTTTAATAGCCATTTGAAGTCTAAGTGGTATGGATTATAATTTATTATTGATGCTATTGTATAATGCGTATTTATTTTGTCAAAGTTCTTTCCCTTTAATATGGTTTAATTTTAGTAATCCCAGATTTCACTGAAGAGTTACGCTATCACAAATATTATATACGCATATGAAACTATACTGAACTAGATCACTAGAAATTTACTGGTTATTCACAATCCATGGATGAATTGCGATTTGATCGAGAGGCAAACGGTTCTCAGGATCAGATTGTAATAATGATGAAATGAAAATTTTGGCTTCCGGAGAAATTTGATTTGGTATTTTATAATCAACTGTAGCAATTTTTTTGTAAGTTGCAACTATATCCTCAACCATAAAAGGAGGTTTCCCAACTAAAAATTCGTAACATAACACTCCAAGAGCCCATGAATCTATTTTTTGATCGTATCCCAAGTTTTCAGTGATCATCTCGGGTGCTAAGTAATCAGGTGTGCCACAGAATGTCGTACGCCTTTGGTTTACACCTGGCGTATGAATTGCCCATCCAAAATCAGAAACCTTTACTATATCATTATTTGACAATAAAAGATTTTCTGGCTTCATATCTCGATGAATGATTTTTTTCTTTTGTAGGTAGTTAAGAGCAAGTGCTATTTGAGATATATAACATGCTGCTTGACGTTCTGTGAAAGGACCATCCTTTTGAAGACGTTTATACAATTCTCCATTCTCAGCAAATTCTAAAACCAAAAACACGCGATCTTTGTCGTGAAAATATCCATATAATCGTAGTATGTTGGGATGTCTCAAATGCGACTGAATCTCCACTTCACGTCTCAATTGTTCCACCATATCATTTTCTCGAATCTCCTTTTTGAATATTACTTTGATGGCAACAACCTTCATACTTGTCTTTTCCCTTGCCATATATACACGACCAAATCGTCCTTCACCAAGAGAGTCTCCCATTTCAAAATCATCTAAACACCATACTTTGGTCTCTACTTTTTTTGGAAGATTATCAGTAACTTGTGACTTTGTTGATTTATCAACGACTCCACTATTAACAGAACTCGAGACTTTTTTCACAATTAATGATTTCTGTATATTTTCTGTTTCATTATTTTTCTTTGTAATGGAATTTGTCCCAACAGACAGTGTATTTATATTAACAATAGGTTTTGATGCTAAAGCAACACGTTTTGAAATACGCAAAACTTCAGCATTTATTTTTTCCATACGTTCTTCAAATTTTACACGACTAAACTTGTTGTTTTCTTTGCCTTGAAATTTCTCATTTAATGAAATTTGGTTAACATTTTTGGTAAGTTTAATTAGCCCATTAGTAGGCAATTTCTCATTTTCCTTTTGTTTTTTTGCCCTTGATAACAACATATTTTTAAGAAATGGATTTACAATCAAAAAAACCCCTCAGCGCGTTTTAATAAAGATAAAAATATTGAAACAACTTGATTGGTTGCGATTCGTTTCGTCACATGATTTTAACCTAAACCCGATTATGTAATCTCAAAATTAGGTAATGTAGTATGCATATAAAAATTATTCAAATTATTATGATATTTAACCTTAAAAAAAAATTTCATCTGGAATATAATTTTTATATCAAAAAACTCTTCTTTTCCTAAAAATTACTAAAAATACCTATTACAAGACAAGCAAAAAATAAAAATGCAAAACTTCTCATACTATTTCAAATAATAAAAGAAATATCAACAACACTAATGATAACACTTCTTTCAGCTTTTCTAACAACAACAACAAACAAACTAAAAAAACTAAACAACCAAAAAAAATAAAATTTTCTTCTAATACTTCTTCTCAAAACTTAGAAACTCCTTTAGAATAAACTATTAATAATATTATCACCAGAAATAATATTATTTCTTTTTCTATTGACTCAATACCTGAAACAAAAAATCCAGAAACTATGGATATTGACTTAACTTCTTTTAGCCCAAATAACAATATTCTTCTTACTTCAGAAAAAAATATTATTAATGATTCTATATATAGTTTTAGCTCTTCTAACACTAATAATAATAATAATAATGTATTCCATCCAATTACGAATCAACCTATTATCAACAAAGGAAAGCAAAAAGATACTTGGTTTAAAGAAATAGTAAACAATGATAAATCACGTGAATAAGAAAACAATGAAATTTCTTTCAATATAATTACTATACCCACACATTTTTATGTAACTTATAATATCTCAGATATAAAAGAAATTCTATAACTGAGAAATACACGTTTGTTAACTCTCTTTTCATTGAGTATAATAGATATTAAGATTTAACATAGATTCACAAAATAAGAAAATTCTTTATCTACTTTAACATGATGGATTCCTTAAAAAATGTAATCACAAAAACATAGGAGACACAACATAATTCTATTTTTATTATTGTTAAAATAATAAAGGCAAAATACCAAAAAAGCAGGACTATCAAAGTATCTGACATCTTCTTGTTTATCAAGATGTAGTAAGAAATTACTTTATCAAATATATTAAGATCTCTCATTTTTCAATGATCATTAGAGGATCTTGACAGATTATGTTCATTGTATATGAAGATCCTATTTTTATTAATCAATTTTATGATCAAGTATAATTTGTATCCTTTTTAGAATTTTTCTTGAAAATAAAACCTACAAATTTGAACCCTATGCAAGCTGCTTTAAGACAATAATTTGAATTGAAACTTATGGGTTTATTCTTCAATACTAATCAATAACAATTTATTGATTTTCTACTTCATATCAAAACCAAATCCTATTTTATATCACATGATCAACAATACTGATTAGGACTATATGCATTCATTAACTTTAGCAATACTGAAGGTGTTAGGCATCATAATTAAAAAAATAGTGCAATTGAGTTGCAAATTATGATGCAATTAAATTTCCTTATGATACAATTAAGTTGCAATTCAATTAAAATTTGAAAATAATTATGAAGATTATCTTTATGTTACATAATCTCAAAAATACAAAGGAAAGATTCTATATTAGATGGAACTATCCAAAAATACTGTAGAAGTTTTGGTATCCTGATCATAAGTTCAAAGATTGTAATAATCATAAACCTCTTAATTTTTATCATTTACTATATGATTATTTCAAATCTGAGCAATACTGATTTCTAAAATCATTTCATAGCAATAAAAGATCTATTTAAATCATACTTCCAAGTACTCACAGATTCTCAGATTTCAAATTCATCTAAAGAAAAGAGCAATATTTCTTTAAATACCATAAATGTCTTAAAAGTTATTCATGAAAATTGGATGTTATTAAAAATAAACTTTTATTAATCAGTAACAAACTTAATTCTCTCAAAAATTTAGCTATTCAGCAAGAATAAAACTAAAAAATATTAACTTTTGTCTTAATCGTCTTGAATTTATGTATTACATAAAATATGATCCTAATCAATTAGATAATCCTACCTATGAATTTTCTTTTCACAATAATAAAGAAGAAATTAAAATTATGCCTCTTAAACCTGCAGTCTCTAATGATAATAATGAACTATTATTTTATACTGCATTAATTAATTTTCCAAATACATAAATAAATGATATGAATAAAATTGATTTAGTTAAAACTTCTGTTAATAACATCAGATTTGAAATTTGTGATATTTCAATTGCATTATATTCCATTTTTCAAACTCTTACTAATATTATTTAATGAGTGTATAACCAATTAATTCTAATACTAGTATTTGTTAAATACACCTAATTAATTACTAAAAAATTTTAACAAATGATAATTTCTATTTGCAATTATAATCCTAATTTTTTCTATTGCTATATATAATATTAGAAGTTGTATTTCTATTATAAAAATGAATCAAATTGAACAATCTTTTACTATATATAATTTAGACATTTTAGGTTTAAATAAAACTTATTTAAGTTTAACACAAGCTTTTTGTCATTTTCTCAACTTTCACATAAAACCTTACAAATTTATTTTTCCTTTAATAACCTCTCAACTTCTTTTTAGGGTGTGGGTTTTAACATTCAATCATATTTTCATGACCATATTTTTTTCCAAAAAATTCTATATAACTGTATTACATATATTAATATACAGTTTATAAACAAAACTAAAATTCAAATTCTTCAAATTTACTTTTTAGCAAATACTATTGATAAAAATCAATTAAAATTAAATTATTAAAACAGGTGCCGTCCAAAATCTCGAAACTCAAAATCCCGACAGACCAAAATCCTGAAACTCAAAATCCTGAAATCCAAAATCCTGACAGGTTCAAAATCCTGACAGACACGAAATCCTGATAGGTACAAAATTAGTCTATATTAAGCTTTAATACTATCTGAAATTAAGTTTTAGGATTTTTTTGGGTTCTGAATTTTGAACAGGTGGATTTTTTTCAAATATAATATATAGTTTAACTTTATTAGTCTAGAATTAAGTCGTGCGATCCTTCGTAAATTCTCATTCTATACCCTTTATTTTATTTCACATGTTATTACATTATTCTATTTTATTTAATGTTATATTTAATTACATTTTATTATATACTATATTTAAGAATTCTATTTTTTTATTAATTTTTGATATTATCATTTACAAAAGCTATGATTTCACATTATTTATTAAACATATCTTCATACATTTTTTAAACAATTAAATAAAATACCCCCTACATTATAACAGGTAAACTCATATTGCCAAAAAATGCAATTTTGAATGGTGTGGGTAAAATATTTCATCTTAAAAAAGTAATCCAGAATAATATAAACCCATACAATATAAATTTAAATTAATAAACACTAAAAATAGCATAAGCTGGTTTTAATCACATGTTACACGATTTAAAAGGTAGATAATAATTCCCTCATTAGTATATTTATAGATAAATAAAGCATCTTAATATATTTATTAAATATACTGCACATAATTATTGCGCGTAATTATAATAAATTTTCAATTTCGAACGAAAACTTCTTATTTTTGCTTTCTCATTCTTTAATTATAAAAATATATTAGAAATGGAAAATTATGAAATATGTGATATTGTTCCATCCAAAAAAAAAAATAATAAAATAAATGTTCAAGGTTATTTAATGGTAAAAGAACAAGCACAAAAGGATACATATTATTATTATTATTTTTTTTTCAATGTGACACTGCCAGTAACTTTATTATTTTATAAAGAAATTAAATACAAAGAAAAAGAAAAGTACTAGCTATCTCTCGTGATTATTTTACAAACCCGTTTGAATCGATCAATCATCGTCTTTTCCCTCCAATAGACCCACTAAATTTATATCTAATGACTACTGTTTTTACCAAGAAAAGAAAAAGAAAAGAGTCAGTGTCTATCTAAAATCTGGAAATGAGTTACCATATATGTTTGCCAAGTGAATCCATGTTTCCCAAGCATTAGGTATATGATCATCTGTTGAGTGAGCAAGCGTTGAAACTGCGCCTTTTTTGAATTTGTCCTTTTTAGTGATTCCTAGAGATCGTTCTTTGTCAATCACAAGTTGACAACGAGGTTTCCATATTTTTTCAAAGAATTCATTGAGAAAGAAAGTGGTAAGTTTAGTAATGATTGAGAAACACTTTGATTTGTTCTGAGTAATTGAGTGAATCAAGTTGACTAAGGAGGATAAAACACAAAGTCGAATAATATCAATGTAACCATCGTTACTAGAAGAAGGTAAAGCAAAAATGCGATCAAAAAGATCCATTATTTCTAGAAGAGAAGAAGATTCAATGAAATTAGGATAATCTTTGAGCAGGATGACGATGTGAGATTTGGTGAGTGAAATAATATCAGTTATTATATTGGAGCGAGCGGGACAAGTCCAAAGATGTGTAAAGGTTTCTGACATATCGTTACAATCAAGGCAATTCCAATTTTTTAGAGATCAGGACGTAGCTGCTCCATACGATTAAGCACAGGCAGTTCATCCACAAAATTCTTAATCATATAAGTCTTAAGCCGAGCATCAGCGAAGGACGTTATCAAGGATGATGAGTCCAAAGTTAGGATGTTCCAAATGGCATGCCAGTTAATGTCGTTAGAGCTAGTAAGGAATCTCAAATCCCTATTTCTGTGTAAAGACAGAAAGTTACTGAAGTGTTGTGCATTGAAAAAGTTTTTAAAGAACTTTCGAATTGATGATTCAATTGTGATAAGTTTGAAGCTTATAGCAAGGTTCCTAGATCCAATTCCAGTTAATTCAGGTTGAATAGGAGGGAAAGAGCGACCATGTTTAGCAAGAGAATCAGCTATATCATTAAAGGTGTTACCATCATGAGCTTTAACTTTGTGTAGAATGACATCAAGAGCCAGGGTGTTAATAATATATTGCATCAAATTCCAGATAGTATAATTAGGAATTTTTTCCAAGAAGCGATTAGAGAGATTGCAATTTGTAATGACGGAACAAAAACCATGTATCAGAGCTTGACTGTCTGTGTATATGTGAATTTTTGATAATCTAGCAGAAACCAGAAGTGTCGTCATAAAGGCGAACAGTTCTGTATGAGTAGAAGATGGCTAATTTTCTATGGAAGCAGCAAATTGGTGATATTGGAAGGTAGAATCAACACAAATCCAACCTATACCCATTTTACAGGAGTCTAGACGAGGGTCTATTAATGAACCATCTGTGTAGAAAGTAAGGTCTTTAGAAGCAGACAAAGCGGCTTGGAGAGAAGAGAGAGTGGGAAGGTGTGGAGAAAACGGTAATAATGTATGAAAAAGATCAACAGTGGAAGATTGTGAGCGGTGGTGCTGGTAAGTTATAAAACATGTTGAAAGCAATCTGTAAAAGTTCGTTCAAAGAATATTTGATTCTTCTTCCAATAATGTTAGGTAAGTTAGGTAACAAATCAACTCAAAGGATACGATCAGATTGAATTCTGAAAGTGCAATTATTAGATTGGGCATTATAAGCGAAGTTTACGCATCCAGTGCATTTGATAAGAAAAGAAGTATGGTCGTTAGGTCTGATGGCATTAAAATGATAGCAAATAAACCATCTAGGACATGAGAGTTTGTCAAAGATTTGTCCAAAAGAAACGGAGTTCAAAATCGGATTCCAAGAGGCAATGAACTCTTTTCTTTGATTGACGGGGATAGAGGTGACAGCTAAATGTTTATAAATAGGCAATGGTTGAGCTAATCTAAATTCTAATCTAAGGTTTCTACTACTAGTATTATCTAGAACTAAGTCTTCTAAATCTGAAAAAAAACCTAGAGTTACTCATATGCAATGTATGATGATTAAAATTCCTAAGGAACAAATCAGATTTTTTAATTAGAGAGTAACCAGTAGCATCGATAAGTTGATCTAAATAAATAAGGTTATGTTGACGAAGAAAGTTAGTATATTTAAAAAGCAAATCAGAGGAGAGAATATTGGTAAGGGGAAGTTGTCCTCCTTTAATATGGTTAATCAACATAGGAGATGGAGTGAAGGACAAATGTGTAGAGGAAGATTTAAGGAGACTCAAGGAAGCACCAATAAGGTTATAATGAGAATGACGATCAAAGGATTTTTTCCAAGAGTCTAAAGGAAAAGTAGGAAGAGAATGTTGTAATTGTAGTTGGAATAAACGAATAATAGAAATATGCTCGTAAAGCGAATTATTGTTGAATTGTTGTAGAAGAGCACAAGAAAGTGATTTAATCTGACGTGACCAAAGATCATTTAAATTATAAAATTGTTAAAGTTAAGAAGAGCATTAGGAAGTGTAACAGCAAACTTGTTCTTTTTCTTGAAAAGTGAACGAATTGGTGTAAAGATTCGATCACAGTCGGCTTTTGATAAGAGTGTAAATTGTATGCGATATTCTATAAGAGGACATAGCATCATATTTATGATATAAGCGAATTGTTTGTCGGTGATGGGTTTATAATGCATGGTATTGATGAAGCGTTGAATATCTAAGGAGATCTGTTTTTTAACGAAGGCGACCGAGCGTTTGTGATTGATCCATACTCCAAGAAATCTAATGGAGCTTTGTTCAGCAATTACATCGACATAAGATGACCCAAATCTTAAATTAACATTAGGATTCTGGAAGATCTTGGTAGTCAGAAGTTTCGATTTCTGTTTATTGAGAGCAGATTGTATAATGTTGTAAAATTCCTCCGCTATATCTAACATAGATTCAAGGTCTTGTTGATTACCAGTGATCCAATTCGTATCATCCATAAAAGCCAATGACGAGACTTGGGCTGTTAGGTGATTTGAAGATAAGGTAGTAAGATCTGAAATCTATCTATGTTCGATATTGTATCCTTTGTTAAGGCTGGCAACTTCACATAAAAGGGGATCTAGGTAAATACACCATAAAAGCGGTGATATAACTTCGCCTTGATCAATTCTGATTTTTACGTCATAGTAATCTGAGGTGCTATTAGCTGTAAAAACAGTATTTTTTCAGGCAGTGAAAAGATTGATTAAAAGATCTATCGCATGGTTAGGCACTTTGATACGATATAAGGCTTTTCGGAGGAAAATTAAGTCAACACAGTCATAGGCCTTTGAGAGATCTTGAAGTAAAATCCAAATTTCTTTGTTATTTTTGTTAGCATCCTCGAATAATATGTTAAGAATTTTGATGGGAGTCTCCGTTGAGCCCCCTGGCAATCTGGTGAAATTGCCTCCTCGTAGGATAGAATGTTTAGCAATAATTTTCGATAAGCAATTATTGAGAATTTTAACAAAGCCTTTTCTCATAGTTTCTAATAATGTAATAGGTCGAGTCTTTGTAATGTCACATTCCCAAGCCATAGGTTTAGGAATTGGAAAAAGGTGCGCGATTTTCCATTCATTAGGAATATCTCCTATTCTAAAGCACATACAAATGAGTTGCCAAAGAAGGTACTGAAGTTTGTCGTCAATGTGTGCCAGCATTTCATTAGTAATGCCTGATGGGCCAGCTGCCTTATCATTGGATAGATGTTTTAAAATTGATAGCTATTCATCCATTGAAGGCGGTTGGAGTAAGTTATCATAGCAGCTACTATTGACATACTCCTTCAGAAGGTACTGATTGATCCATCTGGGGGTAATGGTTGGAAAGGCGTATCTGGTAAGGCGAAATTTTGAAAGTGTTGAACAGTAGCTTCTTTAATTTCTTTAGAATCTACGGTAAAACGTTTGGTGCCAGTCATAGGATCATTAATCAACAAGCGATCAAGAACAATCGTGTTCTTCTTACGATTGAGGATGGAATCAATCATGGCTGATGTGTTATTCAAAAGATCATCACATCGTTTGTCAATGAATTGTTTGATAGCAGCAGTTTTGAGCTTGTGGGTATCAATTCTAGCCAAATTTGATAATGTCTTGTGGGTAGCAACGAGGTCCTGTTTAACATCCAATGCTAATTGGCTGGTAAGAACGGCAGAAAAGGAGATGGACGCGAGTTTCATTTTGTCATGAATTTTTGTCATGGAGGAAATTATATTGGACCATGCTGAACCTCGAGGCCATTGACCATCTTGAATTAACTTCGTTTTAAAGAGCAGTAAGAAGGAGCGGACCTTTTTTGCAGCTACATAGGAATCCAGTGAATCGTAAAGCTGCTTGTGATCATTGCGATTAGAGATCCAAACTTGCAGGATAATGTGTTTATTCACAGCATATATGGCGGTTTTAATATTCATCCATAGAGAGTTCATATTTGGACGAGTAGGCGAAAGGTCTTTGAGTCAGTCGAAATTATGGCAGTTATAATGAAAGTCAGTATATTCGGCAAATGCTGACCATTCAGTTGAATCCATTGAGCATATATTGGGAACTTGGCGTTTATTTTGAAGAAGACGAGACTTGGCTTGCGAGCACTGCTGTATATCTGCAAAAAAGCAAAATGATTTTGTGGTCTGACAAGTAAAGGTCAGATTGATCGATGGATGAAAAAAGAAAGTCTGAAATGAGATTAGGTGAGGCGAAAATGGTATCGATTCGTGAACTTCTGTTACTAACGCAGAAAGTAGGTTCGGGTGTATCATAATATAAGTCATATAAGTCAATGAAGTTAAGCGCAAAGATTTGATCATAAAAATCAAACTTCCAATGTAAAGGAGCACTATGGTTATATTGTGACCAATAATGATACAGATTCGCATTGAAGTCACCTAAGAGTACAATTTTAAAATCAGACTTAAGACTATCTTTGATATGTTTAAGAATCGTTTTGTGAAGGTTAAGTCGCTCTTTTTTGGTATCAGACATTAATGAAGCATGCAAGTATATGCAAAAGATCCTTAATTTAATATGGCCTGCAAGATATAGGTCGATGTAAATGAAGCGATCGTTATCCAAAAAGGTACGCTAAATATATATAGTCCAGGAGCATTTAACTAAAATACCAACTCCTGCATGGATGTTAATGCGGGAGCTCCAAAAAATGCGAAAATTGGGATTGTTAGAGTAATGAAAGCATTGATCAGATTTGTGACAAGTTTCTATAAGACCAATAAAGTCGGTATTGAAATTAATAAAGGTATCATTAATTGAAGAATTTTTGATTTCATATTATAAAGAATTAACGTTGTGAGTTGCGAATGAAAGACTAGGAGTTCCTTTTGAAATGTTGGAATTAATATGTTGGGGTGACTTATTGTTATTAATGTTATGGTTAAGTTTTAATATCATGAGAAAAGTTGTGGAGAGGGTGGCAATTATTGTTTAGCCAACTTAGCAGTCAAAGACTCAAGTTGTGCCATCATGATATTAAGTTATTTTTGTTGGAAGGCAATGATACCATTTTGTTCTTGGATGGTAGTCTGTAACTGAATATTAACAGGATGAGGAACATTAGCATCGCTATCATCCGACGATGTATTAGCAATTCTAGAACGCTTGTTAATATGAAATATAAAGCTGTTATTATTAGGTTTCTGAGTATCAGGGATTCGAGAGGCGATCGGAGTTGGTTGATGGGGAGTATAGCTTAATTGATTCTTTTCTAATTTAAGAATTCGGGCTTCTAGATCAGACATGGCTTTTTTCATACCAGAAAGCATGTCTAAAATTTGGTCAAGTTTCTTATTAGTATCATTATTGGCATGAGGATTATGAATCGAGTCATCTAATGAATTTTCTTTGGGGCCAGTATCTTTGCCTTTGCCTTTATTGTTATCTAAGGCTTTGGAGTAATTAATATTGTTATGATCATTAGGAGGTCGATCGTTTCTATTATTGTTGTTCTTAATGATTAGGTTATGAGAACCTGCAGGTTTGTAATGATTGTATAATTTTTGGACAGAAGGGAGGTGGGAATGAGAACGCTTGTTGTCGTTTGAATCATTTTTTGTTTGAGTTGTGGTCTGGGAACATTTCATAACAATGTGTTCAGTAGAGCCGTACTTGTGACAGCATTTGAGATCTGCTGCGCACCATTATATCTCTTGATTACTGAAGGCATAGTTAATTCTAATAGTGTCATTGAGTACTTCTTTAGAATCAAAATATAAGATAGCGAATGGTCTTGGTTTGTAATTATTAGATCTCGGAATATAGCAACTTTTTGCTTTAGTGGCGATGATAATATCATGAAGATCACGTGCAGTTGTTCCAAAAGGAAGATTGGTCAATTTAAAGCGGATATCATTTCTGTATTTCACCTGTTCAGGGGTGAGATCGGCCGGGTAAACTCTTACACAGTCATTGTATAGGTATTGTGACCATTAGGTGTAAAACAGTTTGATGGCGTTAGGATCTTCATATGTATAATAAGCGTGCTGCCACATGCCTCGTGTTTGTATTCTTACATTTGTAATTTTTCCATATTTGGTGAATACAGAGGTAAGGGAGTCTTGTTTAACATTGAGATGAATATCCGTGATATGCAGGATGCGCTGCTGAAACTGCATATTGTCTTTGTATTCATTGTAGTCAATCAGTTGGTCAATTTTCAAATTGGGAAATTTTACAGAGGAGGCAGAGATCATCGACTCCTTATTGGCAAAATAGATGACTGTGGAACGAATGAAGTTAACGCGGTAAACATTAACACCTTTGAAAGCGTCATTATGGGCGAAGTGGTTGTTAATAGCTTTGACAACTGTTTGGGTAGAGAGTTCTTTCGCAGTTTTGGAAATAATAGAGGCACAGACGAAAGCAGTTGGGCGAGTAATAGTGATAAAGTCACGGTTTTCAGTTTCTATATTATCGTTGTCTTCAATAGGAACGTACTTGTCTTTATCCAAAATGTTGGAAGGCGGAGTGGGTTTTGGTATGAAAGTATCTGCAACAATTTCTTCATCGGAGAGGGAACTAGGGTCAGAAGCAGTCTTAGATGAAGAGGCGACGGTTTTTGGTTGCTTGTCTTTTGGGTCGAAACGAAAAGTGTTTTTTGGACTGGTATTGCGTCTGCTGTTTTTTCCCATTTTTATTTGTAAAATTTTGTAAAAACTCTTTTGAAAAATTTGTTTGTAAAGTAGAGATAATAAACTAACTAACAGAGTTGAAAAATATTAAAAGATTTTTAAAGCGAAACGATTTTATTTTCTAAAAAAATTTTTGTTTCCAAAAATTTTGGGAGAAGGGAGAAAGAGTTTTTTTTCAGGATACATATTATTGGTATTGTGAGAAAAGAAAACTAGATAATTGTAAGGGTTGTGCAGTAACAACTTTTCATAATAAGTCCCATTATCTTAAAAAATTTGTTGAATATGACCACTCACCCCAGCCTAGTAATGTAAAAGTTGCAAAAAATATCAGTCAAATCAAGCAGAAAACTTGTACAATAAGAGATAAACTTATACAAATCATTCAAGATATTACTGTTAATATGTCACAAGAGTATTATCCCTACATGCCATCTTCTAATGCTCTTCGTTCAATAATTAAACGTGTCAAAAGAGCAGAAATACCTGCACAAACTATTAAAGAAGTTAATATTCCAGATTCACTTCGTTTAACATTAAATGGTGATACTTTCTTAATAAGAGACTGTGTAATTGGTAATGATCGAATTTTGCTATTTGCTACAAAAGCAAATATTCAACGCTTATCTCAGGCTTTATTTTGGCTAATAGATGGTACTTTCAAAACTGTTTCAATATTATTTCGTCAATTATATACCATTCATACACCTGTTAGTAGTGAAAATTCAAGAATTCTTTCTCTTGTTTACTCATTAATAACAATTAAATCAAAAGAAATCTACAGAAGCTTGTTCAAAGAATTAATTGATTTTGTAGCAGAAAATGATCTTACCTTACAACCTTCAATCATTCTAACTGATTTCGAGTTAGCATTAATCAATGCATCCCATCATGTATTTCCTAATATTGAAAACAAAGGGTGTTTTTTTCATTTAAGACAGTTTGGATGGCGAAAAATTCAATTATATGGATTTGCTACTAGATATGGTAATGATAAGTAATTTAGTTTAATGTTACAGCATTTATTTGCACTGGCTTTTTTACCACCACAGGAAATTCCAGCAGCATTTGATATATTAAAACTTGAAATGCCTTCAGAAGCAAATGAAGTTGTTCAATAGTTTGAAGATAATTATGTTCATGGAAGGATATGTCAGTATCTTCAAAATGGAACAGTTATTCATTCAGCTCCTTTATTTCTGCTACAATTGTGATTAGTATACAATTCAAATGAGATGGGAATTCCACGAACACAGAATAATGTTGAAGCTTAGCATCAGTGTTAGGAAATTTTAGTTGGACAAAGTCATGTAGGTGTTTATAGGATGATTGATGAGTTACAGAAGGAACAACAACATGTAAACCTTCAAGTTGAAAGTATTATTCGTGGTGAATAACGACCAGCAAAAAAAAAAACCTTAATTGAGAGGGAAACAAGAATAATGATGATAGCTGATGATAGAGAAAACTGCTTAGTAATGAATTTTTTGCGAGGGATCGCTCATGATTTTGCAATATAGTTATAATACCCCTGATCTTTTGCAATCATGTCGATCAATTACAAATTTTTTGATTTTTAATTAATTTTTCTTGGCACATAATATACATTTTTGAATTTTTTTTTGTTTATGAAAATAATAATTAATAAAACATCATTTTAACCTGCTTTGCTAATAAAAAAAAATTAACAATATTAATAATTAATATTGAAGTTAATTTTTATTTTATTTTATTTTAAATATACATTAACAGAAATAATAAATCACGAATTATAAAAATAGAACACTTGGCTAACTTTAAACTTTGAATATTATATGAAATAAATTTAATGTGTACATGCCATTATATATCTTAATCTTGACCCTTCTGCTGTATATATTTTATAATAGGGTCCTGTTCGGTGTATAAAAAAAAGAGTTCTATAATGAACTCTGGCTCTAATAAACTAAAATGTTCCAGCCCGACAAGGATTTTAACCAATCGGAATTTTAACCTATCGGGATTTCATATCTATCGGGATTTTGTACTTATCAGGATTTTGGACTTTGTGATTTTTGGGATTTTGGTCCGTCGGGATTTTAAGTTTTGGGATTTCGTATCATAGCCATTAAAACTACTGTTATCAACCTTATTTTAGAAGCTTAAGTTAAGAACTACCATATTATAATAATAGGTGACTTTAATATTAATTATAAAATAAAACAATCACTTAATCTAACTAAATTAAATAATAATTTTATCTATACTGCTTCATTACTATCAGAAGATTATCAAAAACTTTCTTATACTTTTACCTTAACATCTACAAAACCTCAATCACATTTGAATTATTTCTTTACTTTTTTATCACTTTTACATAATCTTACTTCTTTCAACATTTTTGATTTTTCTAATACACTTTACATTTTTGATTATTTTTCTTTATCTATTACTATTTACAAAATAATATTTTTAACAATTCATTTTATTGTATATTATAAACTACACAAAACAATGTATAAATTATATAATTTTGATAAAACTACATTTTTGTATTGGAACCTTTTTTTAGATAAATTAGATAAATTTATTAAAGAATCAGTTAAATATTATAATTGTGATTTTAACAATTTAAGTTTTTCACAGCTGCCCTTAATTATGCCTGGGAATTTTTTATTCAATCTCTTATTTTGTGTAGCCAATAAGCACATTCCTAAATTTACTACTACCTTAAAACACAAATTGCTTTACAGTTTTGATAATTCAGCTATCTACAAACAAATTAAGAAATTTTACAAAATTTTTTATAAATCAAATTATATATAGATAAAGAAGATAGAAAAGATATAGATAGTAATATATTATTCTCTAATATTTAGTTTATTATTACATTAGATGAATATTCAAATATCACAACTAAATATTACATTTTTTCTGCATCACTGAACTCATTATTTCATAAAAAAATTTGTTAGGTTACTTTTAAAATCTCAAAGCATCTATTATTAAACCATTAAAATGTAAATAAAAAATTGTTTCAAAAAAGCTTTCATTACTCAAAAAAGAGCTATCAACTATAAAAATGTATCCTCAAAAATGATTGATTGACTATTGTCTCAAAAGATCTAGGCAAACTATAGTATTTGATAAAGCACATATCGATGAATCTAGTCAAGACCCTTCCTTGAATTAAATTCTAATTGAATTAAAGAAACTGTTATTTTACATTTCCAAAATACTTCTAGCTCAAAAAACATTGAAACTACAGACTTCCTAATAATTAGTTTCTCAAAATTCTGGTTCTAATAGCAGAAATTCTATAAATTATTCTCACATATTAATGTTGCTGCTTATGAAAATATACTTGATTTTCTAACTTACGATGAATAGCTTTTTATTATTAAACATTTGCTTAATAATAAAACTCCTAGCTAAGGTTGCTTGTCTAAACTCATTTTGGATTTGGCTAAATGTCTAAACCTTTAGTTTTACTAAATTTTACTAAGTGTTTGATAAAGTTTCACCATTTGATATAGTTTTACCTTTTTCTGAATTTCACAGATTTTTTAGTAAGGTTTTAATATTATTTAATCAAATTTTACCTTTACTATTTAGACATCTGTCTAAACTCTGGATTTCATACAGCAATCTTATTCCTGACCCATCAAATATTTCTAATGAATTTCTTAAGAAAATAGGATCAATTACTAACAAATTTCTTTTTAAAATAATTAGTGCTTGCATCCTATCCAAACTATTATTTCTTAGAATCTTAAATATATAAAATCATTGAAAACTTTAAAGATTATATTCTTATCACAGATAACAGTTACTGAATAATTTTTATTTAACTTTCAAGATTTCAAATTAAAAACAATATAGCTGAAATTATATAAGTTTACTATACCAAATTGGTTCAAGCTTCTTCAAAAAAATATGCTATTTAATTAAACCAGAATTCTGTACTAATAATTAGATGCTAGAAAGCTATAACAACCTCTCTGTAAATAATATTAAATGGAATATAGGATAAGTCAATATCTGGATATCGCCCACAAATAATCTTTATAATTTTCCAATCCCTTGATCACTATTATTTGGAAAAATATTTAAGCTAACTTCTCCTGTACCTTCCTATCTATTCTAATATTATACTTTTAATAATATCACATAAGATCTAAGATCTCTATTGAAACATTTAATATTTTATTGTTATGTAATAGATGCTCTTTTAATCAAAATAGATCTATATTCAAGATCAAAATGAAACTCAAAAGACTGCCTTGTATAGCTTTTATAGATCTACTCCTTTTAAATCCTCTAAAATCATCACTTTTGGTAAAAAAGAACTATACATCAAAAATACTCAATTTGACCTTTAATAAATCAAGCAGTTAACTATTTTTATTCTTTAAATAATCCTTCTGTTTTATTTATTTAGAATAATTCTAAATTAACCCTAATATTTTAATAATAATAATTTTTTATATCTTCTGATATTATTTGAACCCTGAATTAACATAGAATTAGTCTAACTAACTAATGTACTTTAGAACTTTACAAGATAGAACTTATCTGTTTATTTTTTCTTTTTTACAATCATACTTTGACTCTGCTTTTCCTTTAGTTTATGATTTTTTAAGTTAGTTTTGCTGCTGCTTTACCATCAATTTGGATCAATTTCACTTATACAGAAATATTTGCTTTTTTAATGATGTTTTTGTTTATCCTTTTGGCTCTTCTGTTATCATTAATACTGATAGTCTTTCTATAATACTTATATACAATAGACACTTCACTAATACTATTAATTACTTTACTCTGTTATTTAAAACCCCTTCTTTATTTATTAGTATTTCATTTTTAAATTGATTGAACAAAAACAACTTTCACTTAATCTAGTTAAAATTAAAGTTTATAATAGAAATCCTTTTAATAAAAAAGTAGATAAATTAGCAAAATTTTAACTTATAACCCTTTCTATCTTGTTTTCATTTAAACATACTCCTTTCCTCTCTTTTATACATACTTTCTAATCCAATTTTATTAACAATGAAATTAGACTATTTTTCAAAGATTATGTATATACAAAAACCTTTATAACCTTTTATAATTTAAAATGTAATCAATAGTATATTAACAAATCAATCAATTGGCTATGCACTTTTAAATTAATTTTCAATAGTATACTATTACAAACTTCATTCAATGAATCATATAAATACAAATAAAAGTATTAATTTCTTTTAGAAGAAATACTAACTCTAAAATTTTAGAAAGTTACCTGACCTGATCTTTATAATGAAAATTGGAAATGTTATAGATTTTAACTAGTATTTTACACAGAACGGATCAGATCAGATTTAGGCAAAATCTGATTTGATCTGAATCCAAAAAATCTAAATCTAATTCGATCTGAATCTGACAAATCTGAATCTGAATTTGTATCTGACGGATAAAAATTTTTTATCAAAAATCTGCTTCTACCGTTCAGAACGGTATTTTAACAAAAATCTGTCTCTATCTAATATTCAGAACAGCATTTCAATATTAAAAAAACAACAATTTTGTTGTTTTTTTAACAAAAATCTGCCTTTGAAATTCAGATCAGCATTTTGATATTAAAGATTAATAAAAATTGATTTTTTATTAATAAATGCCACGTCCATCTTTTGGGGTGGTATTTTAATATAAAAAATTAATAAAATTAATTTTATTATTAATAAATGATGCATTTGACTTTTGGAATGACATTTTAATATTAAAAATTATTAAAAATGATTTTTTAATAATAAATGTCACGTCTGACTTTAAGGCGGCATTTTTATTTCAAATCTAACAAATTAGATCTGAATCTAAATCCAAATCTGTTAGATTGAATCAAATCCAAATTCAAATCCGATCCAGATCTGATGGATTGAATCAAATCAAAATCTGGATCTGAATCTGATTCAAATCCAATAAATCCAGTTTGATACAATCTGTCAGATTTAAATAAGATTCAGATTAAATCAGATTTTTTGCAAAACACTAATTTTAATACAAAATGAATCTTTTAATTATATTTGGTCTTGTACAAAAAGTCTTAGATATATTAATGCTATCATAGTTAAAGCATTACAGATACTAAAAGATTAACTTCTCATATATACATTGAGATCTAATTGGTCTAATAATTTGTTAATAATTCTAAATCCACTTTATGAATATTGGCTTTCTACTTTTCATAGCTTTCATACTTTCTTTCACTTCATTGATATCATCAAGGGTATTATTCCTATATATTTATACCATATTATTAATGACTTTATTAACTGTAACAAAAAATATATGCTATTTTATTTACTTTTTATGAATTAATTTGAAAATCTTATTGTAACATTACTATTTGTACTGAACTATCTTACAATATTATTAAAAAGAATAAAACTTATAAATATAGACTAGAGTTCTGAATCAGGTCAGGTCAACTTGTGACCTGATCTGACCTAACCTGATCTGAAAAATCCAGATCAGGTAAACAAATTTTCAGGTAAACATCAGGTCAGGTCAAGCTTATGACCTGACCTGATAAAATTCAGGTCAACTAATCAAATTAAACGAAATAAAATATTTAAAAAAAATTTTTTTTTGTCTATTTTTTTTTTAAAACATCTTTAATTTTATTTAATATACTTTC